AAACTGAGGCAAACATCTTTCATCTTGCAGGGCTGCAGACATTGAATCAGCAGAGCAGTTACTCACAATGCTGGACCGGGATGAGATCTCACTGTGGCTGGAGTCTGAGAAGTTATCAGATTTAGTGGAAGGTATGAGGGCATAACCTAAATGAGATAAGACATGCAACAAATAGGAAAAAAAACTCATCAAAAAAAGAGAAGTCTATTTTTTCACCATCACCTTTAAGAACTAAAAGTATTTCAAGGAGGATATTCAGAAAGATCCCTCTTCTTCATGCCCATTTCTCTGTAGGCTTGATGCCACTTCCCTTCATAACAGGAATCAGGATTTATCAATAAAACATGCTAATACAACAATCTGCTGCCACTGACATCCAAGTTGGAGCTCAAGACCCACCTAAACCAAGATGTTAATTCAGTAGTACATATAATCAGCAATGGCAGCAAATTACCCTGTGAATTCTAGGTTGGTATGTCATGGTATTTCAACATTATAACCACTCAGCCATAAGTACAGAACAGCTTTAGTTAGTGAAACAATGTATTTCTCACAATCTTCCTGTACAACCTATCGATTGTGAAATTCAACAGAAAACGCTACACTGAAAGCAAAAGCCTGTCTGTAGCATCTAGTTAGCATAGGTGATGATAATAATTTAGAAGCGGTGGCAGGCTGCAGCATGGACTAGAACCAGTATGCCTACCCATGGTAGAAATCACACCTTCACTTGCAAATACAGACATACTCTATGCAGTATGAAGCAAAATGCAGGACAATGTAGCACTTTAAAGACTAACAAGATGGTTTATTAGATGATGAGCTTTCGTGGGCCAGACCCACTTCCTCAGATCAAATAGTGGAAGAAAGTAGTCACAACCATATATACCAAAGGATACAATTAAAAAAAAGAACAAATATGAAAAGGACAAATCACATTGCAGAACAGAAGGAGGAGGCGGGGGGGTGGGAAGGGGGAGGAAGGAAGGTAAGTGTCTGTGAATTGATGATATTAGAGGTAGGGAGAGTGGGATGTTTGTGAGTTAATGGTATTACAGGTGATAATTGGGGAAACTGTCTTGATAATGGGTGAGAAAGTTCAAAGTATAATATTGCCAGCTCTTCAGGCAGAGACTGTTCTCTTTGTTATTTGTCTGTTCAGCATACAGGATCAATGATGATTTGATTTGGATTTCTAGATGATCCTTGATTTGGGTTCCTAAATGCTACTATGATACAAACAAATAGATTATTAAATGTATTATATATTTTTAAGAATTTGTTTGTGCAACAAAGTCATACTTCGCAATGGCCTACAGACACCAAATTTTCCATAAACAAAAAAATTAGCTGAATGTACTACTTTTTACACTGGAATATGCTTGATAAAAGGTTTAAATAATTATTTTTGTTGTCATCACTAAAAAGTCATGACTATTATGACTGTAGTTCATACAAATATTTGCTAACAAATGAAAATTGAGTCATCTATTCAACTCATTTTAGTGCAAAGAAAATTTTTACTGTGTCAAATAAAAAAAATCAAATTAGTTCCGGAAAGAGTAATGGAAGCTTCATGAGTTTCTGATTCAAATTTACTATGTATGGTAATTATTCAATATAATGAATAATGTTTGAAGTTGAAATCCTACAAGTTTAAAACTGTTCTTTTACTTCCCTTTTGCAAGCACGTTAATAAAAAAATTGCATATTTAATTTCTTGAATTTTCCTATAAGTGTAATCTACGCAAAATGACTTTGCCCAGTCAATGACTAGCCTCGCCTGCTAATAGTAAATATAATCAGAAATAGTTAAACTTATTTTCCTGCAAATGTTCTTATGTTCTTTGTTTTTAGATTTTTATTCTACCTCAGGCCATGACAGGTTAGGAGGAATCTTCATAGCTGCATTAAGTGCAGGAATCTAATTCACTACCCCCTCCTCACTGCTGAAGAAACGAAGTGGCAGCCTAGAAGGCTGTCAAGTTAGAAAAACCCCATATGACCTAAGAACCACCAAACTGCTCACTTCAAGAGGCACCAAAACACTCCTTTCTTGTCAGAGTGCGACTGGACTCCAAGCAAGTTTAAACCTAATCTTTCACCCCTTACCAATGGCAATACTGACTCTGGATGCTATGTGAAAAATATAAACATAAAAGCCTATGATAAAAACTCAGAAGCTGCCTTATATTTTAAAACAAGTGCAGCTACACTTACAAATGTTGTTTGATGTAATTTTTATACACTGAAAGTCAGCTATACCAGTTATGCCATGTGTGAAATGTGGATTAAAAAATGAACCTGACTTTGAAGCACAGAGATGGTGCACTTTGTTTGTGAAGAATTGTGTTTGTGGGTCTCCACTCAATCAGCTAGTCTCATAAAAAGAGTTTCCTGATGGTTTTTGGTGAGACGATGTTCATGTTAATGACACTCTCAACCACAGACAGAAGATACTAGTATAAGAGTTAAAAAACACAGCCAACAGAATGCTTCCACATTTATCTGTGGTCTCCTTCTTGGCAAAATATGTTAAGTGGTTACATATGCTGGGGCTAATTATGGAATACATAACAATATTCATTCCTCAATAGCATAGGCCAAGATATGGTAAGAGTTATACACATCACTTGTAATAGCGAGATTTCACATCAGAGTTCCTCTTTTAATTTGAACTTGAACACACATCACACTTTCAAAAACAGCTCAGGGAATACATCAGTTTTAGATGAATGGGCTCTAACTTTCCTAACTATGGGGAAAAGAAGGGTAAATGGACATATAAAGTACTTAATTGTTTACTTTAATGCTAATTTTCAGTTTATGTTAATGATACTCACATGCAAGTTGAACCTCATTGGTGTATCTTTGGAGCCCCATAAAGTATTTAACAATCAATACTGGAAGCTGGAGTGTAGACTCATACTTCTCCATGGAAGTGCTTAACAAACATTTGCTGAGAGCAAAATAACTATGATGGTGTGTGTGTCAGTTACAGCAGGCACAAGTGTTGCGCACAAGCTGTATACTTGTGTGGTTGCTCAGAAGAGATTCAAATGCTGTCCAGCTGATTAGTAGTGTGCCCACAGCTAGGTGTTTATTTCTATTAGTGGTATATGTTCATACATGCCTCGATACACATAAAATTATTCTGCACAGAGATTCTAAAGATTAAGGTGAACACTGGCAGGCACTAAAGCGCAACTAGTATAGTGAACAGCTGCTACTGATTCTGTATCATATCTGCCAGCCTGAACGGAAGTAGAAAGACAGAAAGAATCACACTAGGCAGTGGGGAGAAGGGAGCTGTATTGAATCATAATTGTGGAAGAAGCAGAAAGACAACAGACTGGTCCAAAACATTTTCCCCTACCTTTGGTAACATGCATAATTTTTTACTTTGAGGTTTGTGGGGGCTACCAAAATAAAGAGACTGATTTCCAAAAGTTGTCATTTGATGTCGTTTCTAGTAAACAGTGGGTTGGGTTCTGGAATTATACTATAGCTCTAGACTGGCTGAATCAGATTCAAAACTGAGGTCAATGGAATTACACCAGCTTTCATTAGGCTTCTTTGCTTCTTTTACTGTAGGTAGATATCAAACAAAGTTTGAACACTACTATGAAATACGTAGAAGATTCTTTTTCATTCCAGTTTTGCTGCATCTGGTGCATTGTAAAATTCAAAAAAACTGAATACATTCCCTCAAGCTAATGTTTTATTTTGAAAACAAATGACAGAAAAGTCCATTGCCTATCAAACAAGGACCCTGCATGCCTAGACTTTATTTATACAAGAGCTACAGGTACCTGCCATTTAATGATTGACATGTTGTTCTCTGACACATATAAGAGCTAAAATTTAAAAAGATACTGAAAGTACAGAATGTCAAAAACAAACTTTGGTTCTGAGTGCAACTATTTCTAATATACCAGCTCAGTTACCTTGCAGAGTAATGGACATCAGCTCAGTTACCTTACATAGTAACCAACATACTCTGAAATCTATTAAAAATGAAATAACATTATTATTGTTATTACTAGCAGCTGATATCTTGTACTAGCTATAGCAGTTTTTACTGGTTGGCCTCATGCAGCTTTTCTTCTCTGTACAGAACAGAACACATTTTCAATAGTATATTATTTGCAATGTCTGTCACATTTAAATTGTTCTCTCGTGAACTTAAACCCTGCTAAAAGAAAATTATGGCAATTGGTTTACTGATCCCTCTGAGCTCTTTTTCATAATAAATTATAAGCTGTCAGTGGAAATTTGGCTGGATCGCTGAATCTTTTTGTGTATATTAATAATTTGGCTGATTTGGTCTAAGGATTGATTTGCAGAAAGTCATGGTCTCTTATAGTGAGTCAGGTCAGCTCTTGTTTTTCTGTCCAATTATTTTCTGAATTAAATAGAAGCAAGTCAGAAGCAAAATTAACTAAATGAACAGGTCACTCTCAAATCTGCTTTCTTTAACATTTTGTTTAAGATAACTGTCTCCCCTTCCATTGGTGGGTCATTCTTTAAGGGAAATACGACACAGACTTTGGCTTCTACCTATTTTCATTATTTAGTTTTTCATCCGTCTTTAGGGTTCCCATAGGATGACCGGACAAAGTCCATGCTATTACAAGCTGGACTTGAGCAGTCTCCCCTGCCTGCAGATAATGCTTACTAAGTATTAGTCTGTGACGTGTTATATTGTGAGTACAAACACATACACATAAAATGACCCTTCATTTGATGATAGTGGGACATTGGAGAATAGAGATTTCACTCAGCCTCTGTTAAGATTTCCTGGTAAATTAATCAAAGCACTATGTAATTTCTTTATCGGAGACTATACAGAGTTTGCAGCTGATTAACTGTTTTTAGATCAAGATTCTTTCCCAGTTGTACTACCACGAATCAACCGTTTCTTATTTCATCTTTAAGAAGCGGTGCCAGTGGGCTGGGCTAGTACGCTGGGCCATCAAGACTCCTGCCAGCCATCCCCAGTCCATTGACTGGCTGTTGTGTCTTTGTGTACAGAGTTGGGAGGGCTACGGTAGCTGCCGGCATTCTGCTCCATTCCCCTCTGCCTCTCCCAGCAGGCAAAGGAGCAGAACTGCCAGTCCTGCCCCTTCAAGCCCCCCAAACCTTGTATACAGAGCTGCAGCAGCTTTGTAGAAGGGGAGAGGGATGGGCTGAGAGTTCTGCTCCTTTCCCCACTTGTCCTTCCCAACATTGGGAAGCTCATCTGGCTGCTGTAGTTCCTGGAGGGCCCCCTCTCACTAGGTAATATGGCATGAGAGCGGAGGGGAAGAGTATGGGGTTCTCAGGCTGGGGTGGGGTGATGTAGGAAGTCCCATACCCTCCCAACTGGTGTGCCCTCTCCCTCCTGTACCGGTAACAATTTTGTTTACTTGCACCATTGCCTTTAAGTAAAAATTTACAGGGTGTACATTTGTATTGAACAGTGAAACATCAGAGAAAAATCTGAACAGATGCGTATATATGAAAGAAATTTCAGTGACATGCATGACTCAGCATGACGACTGATGCTAGGCATACCAACGTAACAATGATCAAATGACTTGACATTTGGAAGCAATGGCCAGGCTGAATAACCGATTTTAACAACAGATTGTGAAGCCTGAATATACAAATAAAACTTTGAGGTACGCTCATGTTTATCAAATCTTTAAGGGTAAATAAATGTATTTAAGTTTGGCATTGTAGATTACACTCAATTTCTTTACTTTTCATATATTATACAACATCATATATTTCTAAATTTAATTTATCTATGCATTTCATGAATTTAAATACTTAAGTATCTTTATGACTTTTTCCTCTTAATGAAAAGCCAGCCTACAGAAATATATAACTTTTAAGATACTTTTTATATTAGGCTACCCCTAAAATTAAATAATTAGACTGTCAAAACAAACACCACGACCACAGTAGGTTTTGTTTCAAACACTCTTTTTCTGAGGATCTCAAAGAGTTTTACAAATGAATTATTGTAGTAGTTGTGAAACAGTCTTATGATATCAGAAAATTAAATTATTAAATAATACTATGTATACACATATATATTAACTCTAAATAAATAACCTGAGTCTAGCTGAGGAGTTTAGCATGGTAAAACACAGACCAGTAAGAGATCAAATTTTGTTTTTTAAAATCAAACCTAGGTATAGGAAGAGATTGATTTGTATCATACTGAACATTCCTGTCCAGTGACGATAACTAGACTACCACCAATAGGGAATGGTGAAGTGTGCCTGACAGAAACATAAGGCAGCATGATACAGCAACTGCTTTTATCAAGCAGTATTTGCAGGAATTTGAAGGAATATTGAGTATTTTTAAGCCTAAATAATATTACAGATTTTAATATTTCTATGTATTTCATAAGTTAACATTTACTGGGCAAAATAAATAAATCAGGCTTGTATATTTATAAAGAATTTCTAACCTTAGCACTAACGTACACTAATGCAAATATTTTAGATGATTTCTAAAGCCAGTCTCGGGTGAAGAAACTCTGCCCTGAAAAGGATTAGGTGGACAGGTATTTGTTAGTAATTTTAAAATATACACTTGAATTTACAGAAATGTATTATGTACAACAGAGATAATATTTAAATGCCTGACAACTTGGAGACAGTGCATCATATAGTCTTCCTCCTCTTGGGTCTCAATTGTGGACAGAACCAGACAAACATATTACTGTTGCCATGGCTACTTGTACTTAGAGCATCACTGCCTATGTCCTTTAGTTGTTCATTTCTTTCTGTAGCATGCATGTGTTCTGCCTCCTTTTCACTTGTGAAAGCTGGTCTCTCCCTTGAGAAAC